GAGCGACCTAGAAACTTGGCACCTCCGCCTCCCGGTTCCCGTCGCTGCCGGCGCTGGGTGCCAAGGCCGATCGCACGGCTGGGGCGTTCGGGCAGGGCTCCTCTCAGCAGGGCAGCGGCAAAATGGCGGCCGGTCAGCTCCCGCTGGCCCGGCCGCTGGGAGCTCGCAGCAAAGCCTGTCAGGCCGCGTTCGTTCTGTCAGAAAACGGGGTGCCGATTATGCTGTAGCTTTAGATATCATTTGCAAAAGAAACCAAAGTTTATTATGCCAACCTCTGAATAATTAGTGTATGGAACCTAATTACTTTAATTGGCAATACTCTTAATTTAATCCAGCACCACAGTGGGATAGTTCTGGGCTCTACCGAAGGTCCTGATTATTATGTATCTGTTGAAACTCATATTGAGATTTTATTCTGTATTACTTGATTAAAACAACTGTTAGTATGTCAGTCTTCTCTGCACTGTGCATTAAACGTGCTGCCAGAGCTGGTCCCATCTCCTGGCGTGCCACAGCGCCGGTTACTGCTGCGTCCCTGCCTAACGGGAACCGGGCTGGCCCAGACACGTGGTGTAATTACCCGGGTCAGGGTGGAGTAGCTGATTATCTCTAAAGCCCATTATAGAGTAGCAATAGTAGATGTCAAGGTGTGACAATTTTTGTGGATACAGGCATGAAGTTAAACAGTGTTGTTTAGTTACAAATGGGTTTTTGTCTTAGATGAGAAAAATCAGTGTTAGGAAAGTACATGGAAATTTTGCTGTGCCAGGTATAATTAGAGATGTAACTAAATCTGGAGAATTCTTAATGTTGTTGACAATCCTGTGAGGGAAGGTAGGGTAGAATGCGCAAATACCATAGTTCAGTCAGTTAGGTTGTCAGCTCTTTATTGTAATTGGCTTAAACTAATTTATTGGGGATTAAAAAATGACAGACAAAGTTTTGTCCTAATATGAAACTTTTTTTTTTTTAAAGTTTCCAGGTAAACGTCTGAATAAAGTTGTAAAACTGGGGTTTATAGGTAGCCTTATGTAAAGGGGTAAAACACATTACAAGGAAATGATAATTCTATTATTAATTTTGAAGTCATTGTCCCATATCGCACACTTTGTCTTTCTGCAGAGATTCTGCAAGAGGATGGTCTCAACATAACATCTGCAGAGGAGTGAGAAAGTATTCCCGTTTTTTATCTTCTGACTTTTACTCCAGTCTTGGATTAGAAGACTTCCTCTCTGTAGGTGACACTTCTGGAACAGAGGAGGATACAGACTCAGCTGTCTTATATGGGACTTTGAGAGGAAGTGTTGTTGGATTACGGTATTACACGGGGATTGTAAGTGCATGAGTGATTACAAAGCAGAAGAAAAAGTTTTTGTTAGCTTTGGAAAAAATACGTTTAATTACATTTCAAAAATTCCTAGAACTTTTGACCAAGTATAATTTTAATAGATTTTTTTTTTCCTAACTTGCTGTATTCGGCATTCTTTGTGGGAAGTCCGTAATCTAAAACTTTTAATACAAAATCTAGTTAAGGTAGCAAGCTTTCAAATCTGGTTTAGGTACTTGGTAGCTCTGCTCACCCGCATAAAGGAAATAAAAGTGATAGAAAACAAGAAATTAAATAGGTCTTTGAAATGTTTGCACGGACAAGAAGGGATGTTTATTCCCTTGCAAAATATGCTAATGGTTGAAGGTAACTCTTGCTCTTAGGAATGCTTTTGAAATTGCTGACATTTATCAGGTAGCTCTTCTGTAATGCTTTTGGTGTTTTCAATAAGTAGTATGTTATTAGACTGAACAGAATGCTATACTAAATTGAGCTTCACGGTATTTAGGTAAATGTATATTAGATACTTCTGCAAATAATTTGCAAATAAATGAATGTGTTTGTTTGCTGTGTTAGGTTAATAACAATGAAATGGTTGCACTTCAGAGGGAGCCCAATAATCCTTATGATAAAAATGCAGTGAAAGTAAATAATGTGAACGGAGACCAGGTAGGCCATATAAAAAAAGAATTAGCAGCAGCATTGGCAGGCATTTTGGACAACAAACTGGCATTAATTGAAGGGTAAGTGAGAAGATTATTCTTTTGGTTCTGTGAATATAAATAATGGATTTTTTTTTTTTATTGCTACACTAGCAAATTCTGAAAACTACTTGTAATCGTTCTCTTTTGACAGAAGTGGCAGCTCTTGGTAATAAGATTAAAGCTGCATGTTTTCAGACTCTTTATTCTTCTGTTGAGCTCCTTGCATACAGTTCATTCTTTCTCACTTATGATAAATGTAGAGACACTAGTGAGAGCAAATTCCTTAAAGACTCTTAAATTAACTGCACGTGATGGTTTGTCTAAAAGGTTTGTGCTGTGTGAGTACTAGCACTTATCTGGAATGTTCCGTGTTTTGATGAAAATAAACACTTTAGAGTACCTCTTGCTGAAGAAATACCAAGGGTTATTCTAAAAATTTGAACAGTTACAAGATTACCGCTGTGGGGTTTTTTCCTGCTTTTTTATCAGGGTTGTCCCTTATGGAGCAAAAAATGCCTTTACCATGCCTGTTCAAATGAGCTTTTGGGGAAGGGAAGAGAACAAAGAAGCAGTGCTAGATCAGCTAAAAAGGCACGGATTTAAATTGGCTCCTCCTCTGAAAGGTAAGCCTTGAAGTTTTGGGTTTTTTTCCTTGTTAAAATACTCAGATTGAACTTGCCACTGGTTGGAAGAAATTCTTAAGGGCTTAATCCTTGTCCTAGTCTTGTCATTCACAAAATTTATATTTTAACTTACTTAGGGAATAATGCAGAGTCCTTGGCTATTAATTTTAAACTTCATAGGAAGTATACTTTTGTGTCCTGCCTTTCATGGTACCTGCCAGCAATTGGAGATGCATTTGAGCAATCTCAGAAATATACTTGATTCCGTAAGTTCCTTAAAAATCCATAATGATCCCTGCATTTCTCTGCATTCGAGAAAAAGATTGTTTTAAGAAATGGGTTAGACCCTTTCATAGGTTGAGGGTTTCAGGGATAGTGCTGCTTTTTAGCAGAGTGCTAGGATGTGAATCTTATTAATGAGGTGTGAGCAAATAGAGATGAGATGTCTGAACAAATAAGCCTAGCAGACCTGATGCTTTGCAGATCCAGCCTTGCACAAAAAGCACCTGTGCTCCTGGAACTAGGCTTTGTGGAAGCAGCGGTAGTCAGGAGCACAGATGCACGCAGAAATAAACACTTGGTGAGGGATATACATGTAGCAGGATTTCATTTTCTATCATATAGGTTCTGTTGCACATAGTTAATGTAAAAAGAGTTTGAAGTAAACGTTTTGTGGTTTTAGTCATCATACTGTTATCAAGTTGAATTTCATGTTACACAACAATTTCTAAGAAACACAGTTGCCATCTCAAAAGATCCCAACCCATAGTTCATTGCCTGTGAGTCTTACAAAGCTTTGTGGAAAGCCTTTGTGGCTCGTTGAAAGTAGAGGATAAATTTGGGCTAAAAGACATATAGTGAAAGATGTTGTCTTATAGCCCGCAATCTGATCAGCGTGGTTACTCATGTGCCAGTGAAGGTTGAGATTGGGAAGTCATTATAATGTTGTGTTTCAAATACTATCTTTTTAATGGCAAGTAGGTTCAGAATGTGGTTTTGGATCAAAGTGGATTTCTGGGAGAGCTGGTCCAAGTTACAGCGCTCCGATTCATGCTGCTGTGCAGTTGACAACTGAACAGGTTTGCATTTCATACTTAAAGCGCCTAGAAGTTGGAATTTTAACAGTGGGGACCTTTAACTTTGTCATTAATGAAACAGTGCTTGTGAAAAGGAAGTCTGTTGTTGTTCTCAAATGAAAATATAATCAGACTTCCAGACTTTATCTTCAGATTTGGCCCAGGGTGATAGGTGAAGGGTTGGGTGGTGGTTTGTTTTGGGTTTTGCTTTTTGTTTGCTCTTTCAAATTAGAATGAAGTAATTACTTTAGTGAGTGTTATACAAGGATGCAAATGTATTTATCCATCCCTTCTCAAGCTCTTGCTTGTATTGGCATGTGTTTGTCCAGCATATCAGGTCTAAAGTGGTAGACCTATATACACTGATGACCATATGACAGGTAATTGTAATTTAAAAGAGTAATTGGTTATTTATAGAGGTTATAATTGCAATAATTTTAATTGCCATTTTTGTGTTCATTTATGCAGCTTAAAAGTGAATTTGACAAATTGTTTGAGGATCTGAAGGAAGACGATAAAAGTTGTGAAATGGAAGGAGCAGAGGTATTTCGTAAGCTAGAAATTGTTTTCTATAATAATATAAATACTCAAACATCTACATTTATCTTTGTTTTCTGGAGACAGGAGATGCTTGAATCAGAAACAAATTTAGTAGATATAAAGGACTTAATAAAAAAAATGTTTCTTCCGAAAATGGAATGTCATATTTGATATGTGAATAGTGTATAATGTATCTCTCTAATTTGCAGGCTGTTGGCACACTCTTGCTTCCCCATCAGAAGCAGGCCTTAGCTTGGATGGTTTCACGTGAGAACAGTGATGATTTGCCACCATTTTGGGAAGAGAGAAGTGACTTCTATTACAATGTACTCACAAATTTTGCAGAAAAGCAGCGACCCAAAAATGTTCTTGGAGGAATACTGGCTGATGACATGGGACTGGTAATAATACTTAACAAGCTTGATATATATTTTTTTTTTTTAATGCAGAACACGTGCATCTTTCTTGTTTGATTGGTCATTTGGTCTGTTTTAATCTGTGGAAAATATGATGTTCTTTTCTGTTATGCAGGGTAAAACACTTACTACTATTGCATTGATTCTCACAAATTTTCAAGATGGCAAGCCTCTTCCTGTTGAAAAGATCACAAGTGACAAGTGTTATGAGGTGAGATAAAAGAAAAATATTGTTTATCAGAGTTAATATAGCAGTTAATGAAAAACTTATGTGCCAAGTAACTTTCTGTGTGGTGAACTTTGTATACAATTTGTAGAAAAAGTTACTTGAGCACATCAAGTAAGAGGAAGAATAGGGTAGATTAGTTGAAGGTGGGTGGACTGTGTTATTTCAGAGCATATAATTGAGCTGTAGACTGTGTTATCTTAGGAGTGTATGCTTAAGTATGTTCCAAGGAAGACTTCATGAAGGCATAAACATTTTCACTGTTAAGTTTTATAAATTCTTAAGTTTCTTGTAGATTTCCCCTGTAGGCAAGTTGTGACTGCAGAAATAGAAGTGTGGGTGTTTTTTTTTTTTTTTTTTCCTTGGGGTGTGCACGCATAGTTCCCATGTGGTTTGGAGGAAATGCCTGAAACAGCCACAATAGCAAGCAGAGAGTCTTTCTATAAAGTACGTAAATAAATAAATAAATCTTGGTTTCTATTTTTGCCAAATACTTGAAGAGATGAGGGGAAACTACAGTTAGTGAACTAACAGTAATGTGCAAACTCTTCTTAGGTAGTGTAGTTCAAGTGCTTTTTGCTTTTGTTATGATACAGTTTTCAAGACAATGAAATAAATTAAATGCTAGGATTAGGTGATTTATTATGGAATATTCCCTGGCAGTATTAAGGGTGGGGTATTTGTTTCATTTTACCATACTTGTCTAAATTTAACAAAATAATTCTTTGTGGTTGACCTCAGAATGTTAACTGGGAAATGTTATTAGTGTGTTTTCTCTCTAGGGCAGCTACATAGACTGAGTTTCTCTCTGCCTGTCTACAGTTTCATTGAACTCTTTATGTGGCTACTAGGAAAAAAAAAAAGTATAGCTTTTTCAGTGACTGACTGACTTACCATTGAGCAAGTCTTTCATGTTTCAGAACAGTAACTAATCCCTGGTCAGATTAGTACAATAATGTTATTGGCATTTTTTCCAGTTGCTACATTAAAGAATAAAAGTTTCCATTCCTCAATAGGAGTCTGGTACTAACAGCATGAACAGCGTTGGACGCAGACTATGTGAAGGTGACAGCAAATTATAAAAAGTCCAGTAATATTTGCATGATAATTAATGTTTTTACCTGGAGTACTCTTAGTCTGTGGTCACTGCTAGTCTTCACAAACTCTTTACAAGCTACATATCTCAGAAGTATTTAAAACATTCCATTAAAGAAGTTTCAGTTGACATATATGAGAAGATCAAGTGCCTTGTGAGAAAGTTGCACTCGATCAGGAAAGTTATCACATCCAGGAAATGGATTCTGGATCCCTTTTGCTTTCCTTTTTTCTTCCTTTTGGATAAAACAGGAGCACTTATGCATCGGTTAGAATCTTGTTTGTTTAAACAGTGAACATTAGTAGTTAAATTGTAATTAGCTTCTGTTTTAAGTCACTTTTTTTAAAAAATATTTGTAAGTAACGAGCAAGTGACAAGTATGTAGAAGGACTTTTATCATGCCTGTAGTTTTCAAGTTGTATCAGGAGAATTTGTAGATGTATGTGAGAGACACTGGAACAAATTGCCCTGAGAAGCTGTGGCTGCCCCATCCCTGGAGGTGTTCAAGGCCAGGTTGGACGGGGCTTGGAGCAACCTGGGCTGGTGGGAGGTGTCCCTGCCCAGGGCAGGAGGTGGCACTGTATGGTCGTCAAGGTCTCTTCCAACCTAAACCATTCTGTGACTCTATGAAAAAATATACTTACTGTTAGTATGTTTTGTAACTCATCATGCTCTTGAAAATGACCGAAGAAATGTATGGGGTTAAAGTTTTGCAGTAACTGTCCCTTTCTGTCCTCCCATGCAAGGAATTCTCATATGTCTGGTCTAACTGATAGCAGAAGAGAAGTGAAAGGGACAGATAGAGAGAACACATTATTATGAACTGTCTCTGGTGAAAGTTTTTTTTATCAGTACTCTGGAGGGGAGAAAATGCAGACTTTCATGGCGGTCAGTATAAGTGTCACCAGAAAATCAGAACCTTTACCAAAGCTGAAATGCCTAGCAGCATCCAGGATTTTTTTTTTTTTCCCCCCAGAGTATCAAGCATTTTAACAAGATACTATTTACAGCACTCAGGGGAGAGCCTGTTTCTGTTATCATTTAATCTGAAAAAGTGATGGTAATGTCTTATCAAACCTTTACTTCTCCAGCACCATTTCTCATTCTATTGTACATTAAATCGATACAGATTTCTTGAGTCTTTGCAAGTTTTGCCATCTTCAGGATTGTTTTAAACTCTTTTTTTGTATTTAAAAAAATAATCTTTACTGGAGTTTGAGTCTGGAATTCAAGCATGAATTTTTTTATCTGAGTTATAGCAAAACTTTCTGCAGGCACTTTTGATTTCAGTTTTGATATAAACTCTGTACTAATGCGTGTTTTTTTTTTTTTTGCATTTGCTTCTGATTAAGCTGTTATTGGCAGAGAGCTGAAGTGATATTTTGCTCACTACCTGATATAAGACCTTAAAAAAACAAAACAAACCAAACCCCTAAACAAAAAAACCCAAACAACTAAACAAAACACACACCCCCCCGTTATCCCCCCAACCCCTGCCCATGCACATCTGTGGTGTTGCCACATTTTTTTCTATTAATATTTCTGTTATTCACTTAGGTTTGGCCAATGTAGAAATCATTAATTAGTAAGGTTTGGCCCATAAGAAACCTTTACCGTTTAGCATTATTTAAAACTTCTTAATAGAACTTTACCCTTACTTTTAACAGTACAATGCTGACATTTGGTTTTTCCTCTTTTTTTGGCAGTTGGTTTTTGATCACCTGGAAACTCAGTACATGTTTTATGACTTTGTAAATATTTGGCATTGTTTTAAGAGTATTTTTATTTTTCATTTGTGATCACAGTTATCAGTAATACTCGTCCCATGCAGAACTGAGGTTGTTTTATAGGAAGTTTGTACTTGTTCTTGATCAAGTTATGCTAAAGTTGGTTTGATAACCAAGCTGAAGACTATGTGTATTTTTCATAAATACTAATTTCTTCTTTAATGAAGACTCTAGCAATGTGATGGTTCCTGGTGTTTCTAACATAAAAAAGTTTGAAACTACTCCGTTGAAATACGCAAGTTGTCTTCCAAAAAGGTAGGTAGCTGGAATAATCTTTTTTGTTATGTTGGCTACATAGATTTTGAGTGAAAATAAAGTGGTACTTGGTTATGGTTAACCTTAGCCTAAAACTCTTTCTGTTCCTGCTCCTTCTTCGCCTTTCAGTCTGCTATACTTCTGCGTACATTTATCATGTGTTCTGTATCTGTGTTGTATTTTGGAATAAATTAAAAAAGCATTAACTCATTCTACATGGCTTGCGCGACTGCATGCTTGGATGTCTCCTTCAATAGTAAAGGGGTCTAATAATGTCAGTTTGTGGCATCTAAAAAAAACTGGCTCTGAAGTAATCTTTCTACTAGTATCAGTTGGGTTTCTAAGGGGTTGAGAAATACTTTGCAGTCATGCTTCTGACAGAGGGACAGCTTTGAGATGATGAAGTTGCGAAGTTCACTAGTGTGTTTGAACTTTCCCACCACACTAGCCTCTTCCTATAATTGGTGTGAACCTAAGTAATAATCTATACCAAGTTTTATGAGCATCATTCACCCTGCAGCTTTGTGTTCTGCTTTGTGTTCTTTGCTGTCCCTTTTTCTAACCCTTCTAAAGAGAAAACTTTCAAATCACAGTGGTATCTTACTTGCATGTCAAGTTAATTTGCTTTATTCTCTTGAGACTTGATGTGTGAATTCAAGCAGTAGTAGAGTTGGGTTTTGGTTTTTTTCTTTCTTAATGATGATATCTTAGAGATAAAGCCAAGAAACCGAGATATTCAGGAAGCAGTGACTTGGGAGAGTCTGAAGAAGGGTTGCTGCAGCAAACAGAAAGTAAGTTGCTAGGAATTTTTTTTTAATTGGTTACTGCGACACCTGGTGTCTTCCTTTCTGAAACCAAACTGAAAAAGATTTATAATTAACTGGAAAATGAATTAACTAAACTACTTGGGTTATTTTGAGGTTTTTTTATTCAACCAAAACTTTAAGCAGAAAATTTTAGTAACTGCTGAATGGGAAAGCAATGTTTTAGTCCTAAGTTGCCTTAGCTGAATGAGTGGTGGTGTAGGAAGCAATGAGCAGGGTCAGGCAGTTGGTGAAAAACAGAATTGCTAAGATTTTTAGAATTTGACATAGACTTGTCAGCGCACTAGGGTTGTAAAAACAAATTAAAAAAATTAAATCCATCTTTTGTGGTAAATACCTGAAATGTGATCATGAAGAGGCAAGAACGTGTCATTTGTTGAACTAAGTATCTTGCATGGAAGAAAAGGGGTACAGGTACTCTGGAGTAAGCAGTTAAGTTTAAAGTACTTAAAGTGAAACCTGTGCTAAACTTTTTTTTTTTTTCAATGACTGGTAAACTGCATTCCTCCGAGGATTCCTAAGCTGAAATAGATGTATAAGATAGTATATTTCTGCACATATGCCTGTTGGAGTTCAAGGAGCATCTGCGTCATGCTCTTAGCCATATGATTTAGTTCTAGGTAGCCCTGCAAGGAGCAGGGAGTTGGACTCAATGATCCGTATGGGTTCCTTCCAACTTGAGATATTCTACATTATTGTATTGGAGACAAGTAATTTGGTTAACAGGTCTGACTTTTATGAAATGTGTCATAAAAATAAATGCATGCGTATGTTCTGCATGGTGTGAAACATTTATGTTTGTCTGGCCTTTCACAGCAACTCCCTGTGTTATCCAAGACGATAGAGGCTTTGCATCTGCTCTTCAGCCTTCATCTACTTGTTTAAAAAGACAAACAAAGAGAAAAGGTAATGAGGGGATAAACAGATAATATTAATTTCTGAGTTTTTTGAAGCTGAAGTATTATACGTATTTGACTCAATAAATTACTTAAATGTCTTTGTAAATGGCTTTGGTGCTGTTCAGGTGAAGAAATTTAGAAAGGACTTCAGGGAACCATAAGATTCTTGAACTTCTGCTTTGCTTTGAAGTGCACCGTTATGCCACTAAACATGGCTTCTGTTTTCTCAGGTACCGCTAGCGTTCAATCAGCTGAGAAGTACTACTCTGATGTTGGCCCCAGAGCAACACTGATTGTATGTCCACTGTCTGTCCTAAGCAACTGGATTGTAAGTGCTAAGCTGTTAATGCATAAATGTGATGTCTATTCATTATGATGCTGTAGAAATAGTACTCTCTGTAGTCTCTCATGCTAGTAAAAGGCCATGGTTTTTCTTTTTTATGAAATAGCTGCTTTCACGAGGGAGGCTTATTTGATAGAAATTCTAAAAACTGGAGTAGTATTGGAATGGGAGTGCAGTTCCATGAGTAGTGAGCTCACTGCTATCAGAAAGTGAGCTCGCTTTCCATTCCCTGCTTTTGACTAGGCAGATTCACTTTGGCATTTCTGGAACTTGTGTGATTTAATTCTTTAAACCAGATGAGGAAGGTGGAGGAGACAGGTCCTCTTTCTGGCATGCTCATAATAAAATGTTATTGTACTTTATTGATAATGCATGTGACATTTCATTTACTAGAGGTATTCAGTAATTTGACGATCATGTTGGTGATTAGTGGGAGTAGGTCTGCTAGGGTGAGCAGGCTGAAGGGCCCTTCCAGCTCTGTCTCTGCATTGGCCACGTTTTTTTGCTTTCGTGACACTTTGAATACAAATATTAAGGGGATATCTAATTTTCAAGCTAGGTTTTATTTGGAAGTTTTTGCTGTCTGTGGTTAGAACCACAGGAAACAATTTACTCTTAGACTGTAGGTAAAACATTAAAATCATATAATTGGGAAACATCAAATATTGGGGGGGGGGTAGGGGTGGGGGGAAGTACTGTTTTTGTCAATTGGAAACCAAAAAAAAAGAAAACTGGTGAGTCTGGTGCTTCAAAAATCAAATTGTTGATTTTTATTGGCTGTCGAGATTACCGTATACTGAGTGCTTCACAGAACAAACATAGGGAGTATAAACACTGGTTGTAAAATGAATACTTTGGTAATTGTGCTGTCATTTATGTTGTAACTTATATGGTTAAACCAGTAAGGGGAAGAAGCTGTAAAGGAACAGTGAAAGGAGAAACAGAGAAGACGAAGGTAAAAAGTGAAAAAGAACATAAAAGCTCTTCCACTACAGTTTGGGAGGAACAGTGGATTTTGAAGTGCGTATACCATGAGGATGTGAATTTATACTGTGCAAGAAGTAGAACTAGAGTTATCAGAATGTGATACAGTGTCACTAATGACTGAGGTGACTACTTCTGGTCCCTCTTCTCACCTGAGTGGGAAGGTAAAAAGAGACCCAAATTCAAATTGTTTTTGTTATATAAGTGGATGTCGGAAGTCACAGAGCCAGAGGAAGTGGTTTTTAGTTAAGGCAACTTAGAAGAATTGTATTCTAACAGTCATAGAGTCACACAGTATCTTTTGGATGACTTCTGGCCACTTTTCTTTCAGGACCAGTTTGAACAACATATCCGCCAAGATTTTCATGTAAGTATTTACGTTTATTATGGTTCTGACCGGAGCAAGGACCCATCAGTTCTTTCGGAACAAGACATTGTATTGACAACATACAACATCTTAGCTACTGATTATGGAGTAAGTAAATGAGGAAAAAGTCTTCTTTGAAGATCCCTTACTGTTCAAAACTCCCAGTGTTTGCGCTAATGATGGCAGTATATTCAAGTGCTATTCTGGTAGGCAGTTAGAAGGTCATAGCTGTAGTTTTGCTTTACATACATGGGTTCGCTGTGGTAGCAAAGGGAGTTTTTTATTGATTGCTCCTGTAGAGGAAAATTGTTTGACTGCAGTTATGACAGCTTAAGGAAGAGACTTTTTAAGGATAGAAAAGGATGGTAAGTATGTAAATCTCCCCAAATCTCAGTGGCACGAGTGTCCCATTTCTGCCTTCCCTTACCAAATTCAAAGAATACGGAGCATATAAAAACATCATTTCATAGTTCTTGTTGCTCATGGGCTGCGACCAGGTAGTTCATTGCATGAGATGTATCTGTAGAGTGATGTTTTCATAGAAATTCCAGCCATTTTAAAAGCCTGAGGATTACATCTTTAAATATAATATAAACTTTTAATTTGCTCTCTGATCCATTTTCCATATCTCTGTGTCTTTGAAGCCTTTTTTTTTTTCAGGCTTAGCTTATTTTTGCTGTAGCTCATTCTTCATATTCAAGTATGAGAAGACTGGTAATATTTTCCAGGATTGTTAAATTAATAGCCTGTTTAGTCCAAATTGAAAAAATGTATTTTAATTTGAATCAAAATAAAAAAAATTACTGTGTTTCAGATCAGAGGCGACAGCCCTTTACACAAAGTCAAGTGGCTGAGAATTGTGTTGGATGAGGGGCACACGATACGAAATCCAAATGCTCAGCAAACTAAAGCTGCCTTAAATCTGGAGGGACACAGAAGATGGGTACTTACAGGTAAAATATTTAATAGCAGAGGAAATGCAATGCAGATCATCTTAGTACAACTTGGTGTTTCCACTTTGGCTTTTTCTGGGAGATGGTTAATGTCTGTCTGTCAGATTCATTTGAAATGTTTTTAAACTTGTCTTTGAGCAGTGACTTAGGTGTGTCTTCATTTAGTTGCTTTTGATTTTGTTTGCTTGGTTTTGTGGCTTGGTTGGGTTGTTTTAGTTTTTGTTTCTATTCAGTTTGTAGACACAAATTTTTAAAATAGCTTTTGATACACAGGTTTGATGGAAGTGCAAGTAAAAAGAGACCTATTTATGACCTACAAGTTATGTCTGGTTAGGAGCTCACCCTCTTATGTACTTATCTGAACTTCAGTGGCTTTTTGGAATGTAATAGTCATCCTAAAAACTGCCAGGGACCATTCAGGCATATGATCGTTAAATGTAATTTAAAGAAGATCATGATGTAACCATTGCTGGTGAAGCTGAAATGGAAAAAGATTAGCATCCAAGTTTTTCTGGGACTGGGAGCTGCAGTTTTCTCACTCTTGCATGTTTACGTGGTTTGTAATATTTTAATTTTTTATTTTTAATTTTTAATTTTTTAAAATAGTATGTATTACCCTTAATGACATGTCAACCTAGGTATAAGAGACCATGTCCATGATGCATAGTTTGGAGAAAGCATAGAATTTTCATTTTGACTAAACGTTTGTATTTTTTAGTTTCTTTGAGGTTTTACAATCTGTCTTTTGTTTATTTTTCTGTTTAGGCACTCCTATTCAGAATTCTGTAAAGGATTTGTGGTCTCTTATTTCCTTCTTAAAACTGAAACCTTTTACTGATCGAGAGTGGTGGCACAGAACAATTCAACGTCCAGTCACAATGGGATCTCCAGGAGGACTTGGGTATGAAGTGTTCCCAAAGAGTTTGTGAATGAGTATGACTGGCAGTGCTTGGGCAACGTGACAAATTAGTGTTTCATGTTTAAAACTGAAATTGTGTCATCGGTTCTTATTTCAATTTTGTAGTTCAAATTAATAAACATTAAATGATTCAAATTATTTAATATTTCAGATTGATGAATTATATTGTACTACTGCGCTTGGATTTTGTACAGAACATGTATTTATGCAGTAAAATGAAGGAAAAAAGCAAACAACAAATCAACCTCAGCTGGGTAATATGTTGTCTATATATGTATTTTTAGGCGTTTACAGTCTCTGATTAGGATTATTACCCTTAGAAGAACTAAAACAAGTAAAGTTAAAGGAAAACCCATTTTGGAGTTACCAGAGCGTAAAGTATTTATTCAGTATGTTACGTTTACAGAGGAAGAGAGACAAATCTATCAGTTTGTGAAGAAGGAGGGCAAAGCTGCTATTAGCAGGTAAGTAGAAGTTTTTCTTAATCCTGAAGGTTGACATTTGATATCACAAACTTTTGTGTTGTGATTGTTAGCTCTAGTAGCCAAGTGTGTCAGTTTGTATGCCATAAGCTAATAATTGCAAACTAGCATAGCGTCTGTTCAGTTCTGAAGAGCAAAGTAGAGACTATCGCAGAACTATATACTAGAAGTTCCGTCTTGCGAGAAACAGAAAGGAATACCAGATATGTAGAGAATGGCCTTAAAATTTTTGTCACCACGTGTCAGCGTTTCTTCTAGTAGAACACGCTACTGGTAGCATTTTGTACCTTCTTTCAGAAGAGGATTTGAGAAAATATGTTCAAACAGGAAAGTGAAAAATGAGAACATCATTCTAACGCTGTTCTTGATCACTTGTTATCTGTTACTTCAGGCTGTAGCATTTCACAGCAATGATAAAACTCTTGTTCAGATTTTTCAGTGAAGGGACTGTGCTAGCTCACTATGCTGATGTCCTTGGTGTCCTGCTCAGATTGAGGCAGCTTTGTTGTCATCGTCGTCTTTGTATAAATACATCTTCCTCCAGTTTTTCGGCTGGTGAGTGAATGCTTTTAGTTCCTGTGTTTCTAAAAACAGGACTTGCACTTCGTATTCAAGAACAGAAACACATCTGTGCTTTTACCAAGCTTTCTAGCTTCAGTCTTCCTCTTTTCAGCTTGGATTATTGAACTTTTAGCTTTGTTACCTTTCTATTTTTTCATACCATAATATGTTTGAATACATTTGAGAAGTGGGTACTTGAGCACATACTCAAATATGAATGAAAGCAATGATGTATGAGTAGTTACGAAGGCTAGAAGCAGGAGTTAATAAGCTTTGACAGCCCATACAGAAATGACTGCAGAGGGCTTAATGCACAATGCTTGTTAAAAAGCAGTGTATCTGTTGTAATAATTTACAGAAGTGCTTTTACAGCAAATTTTTTTCTTTGCCTCGGGAGAGAAGATGTAGAGGAGCTTTGGGGAATGACTTGTAGATTGGTAGCCATGTCAGCAGAACCATTGCCTCTTCAGCAGAATAGGAAACTGTTGACTTTGTTACAGCTGTAAGGAAGCGTGAACACAGAGGACTGAAAGGAGTGAAATTTTATTTCTGACAAGCCAGAGCTGTACAGCTGTGTAGTGTTAAAAATCTTGCGCATTTATTTCAGAAGAAAGTATAGTCTGTTTGAAATAGTCTAAATTTGAGAATTTGATTTTGAAAAATCCTATTTTGAGATGCTGTTGGTATAGGTGTGATTTTTCAGGAAACTGAAAGGCCAATGAGAGATTGTCAGAACCTTTTTTAAGAAGGTTGTCGCTTATCTTCCTGAAAAATACAGAATGGAGAAATGATTGGATAATTTTTCAATAACTATTTAGAAATAAATTAGTAACTAGTAAGTATGATTTGATTTTCTTTACTTAAAAAATAAAGCAATCTTAACTATAAATAGTGTCATCTCCATAGTATTGTTACTACTTGAACAGCTGCCATATAAAAATTGCTTGTTCCCATTAGGCATTGTGTCACACATGTACTTATCACTGAGCATGCAGTTAAGGTTCTTTGGATTCTAATTACCACTTTTCAAATCAAGATTGCTCTTAATGTCGTTTGAAATAGTCAGAATTTTCTGCAATATTTGGCAGCTTGTGTTTTTATACATTGTAGGCTATATCCTCATTGTGTATAATTGCATTTTGATCAATGGAACTGTGTTGATGCCTGCCAGATCAGTGTTTCCTGTGTGGTAATCTCTGGTTTCAGGTACCTTTCTGTATTTGCAGATAATAAAACTACTGAAGAACTGCATGAGGCTTTAGTGAATAAAATGAAGTTGGTTCTGAGCTCTGGTTCAGATGAAGAATGTGCAGTTTGCTTGGAATCACTGACTCTTCCTGTAATAACACGCTGTGCACATGTGTTTTGTAAGCCATGTATTTTTGAAGTCATCAGAAGTGAGCAGGTTGGTTGTTCTATGGTTACAGTTAATTGTAATAGCTGTTCAAACGCAATGAACTGGTATCACCAGAAGGCCATCTAGCCACCCACATCCTGGTCTGCGTCCCCAGCAGCCTGGCCAGCAGGGCGCGGGAGGGGATTCTGCCCCTCTGCTGCTCTCTGGGGAGACCCCTCTGCAGTGCTGCCTCCAGCTCGGGGGGTCCCAACAGCAGAAGGACATAGAGCTGTTGGAGCAGGGCCAGAGGAGGCCCTGGAGATTCTGGGAGGGCTGGAGCCCCTCTGCTGGGAGGACAGGCTGGGAGAGTTGGGGGGGTTCAGCCTGGAGAAAGGAAGGCTCCGGGGAAACATTAGAGCCCCTTCCAGTCCCTAAAGGGGCTCTAGGAGAGCTGGGGAGGGACTCTGGATCAGGGAGGGGGGAGCCATGGGACGAGGGGGAAGGGTTCGACACTGAAGGAGGGGGAGATTTAGATGAGATATGAGGAAGAAATTCTTTGCTGTGAGTGTGGTGAGCTCCTGGCGCAGGTTGCCCAGAGAAGCTGTGGCTGCCCCATGCCTGGAGGTGTTCAAGGCCAGGTTGGACAAGGCTTGGAGCAACCTGGGCTGGGGGGAGGTGTCCCTCCCCAGGGCAGGGGGGTGGAACTAGATGGTCTTTAAGGTCCCTTTCAACCCGAAACATTATGTAACTCTATGATTATAAAAACTCTTGGCCTGACACCAAACTGTGGAGAGAGTAGCTGTCAAACTGAACAGTGTTAAGATTCGTCGGTATTTTCAAAGACCTTTTTCCCTCTTTCTCACCTTACTTTGTCCCTAGGGTAAAAGAGATTGCATCCAGTGCAGCATTTTATACCTTCCTATGGCTGGATGCCTCTTCACTGCTTGTATGTGTTATTATGCAGATACATGTAGCTGTGCTTAAAAGAGACCAAAGCTGTGTATTGGAATTTGTTGAACTAAAATCATGTCTACTCTTCCTATTCTAGCTGATAACCTTCTACAGTGAAATAGCTGCCTTGCTAGAGGGCCATCTTTATGGCCCTTCTCTGGACTCTCTCCAGAATAATCTTATGGATGAGTGTCTTTTGCTTTTTTGAAAAACATAGTTGTTTGGGGTTTTTTTTGTGCACTTCTAAGCTATGCTTTTCCTTCTTGTTTGCCCTTTCCCTTCTAGGGCAATCTGATAGTGTGGTCATCTCACCATCTGTGTCCAGTGCTGCTGCCCTTCCTCTCTGGAATTGTTATGCCACAGTAGAGCTGCAAGTGCCAGGCTAAATCTAGGTGGTGTTCTTTATAGAAGGCAGCAGGGGACTAATTAGTCCCTGCTTGTGCATGATCAGTCAACATAATAAGAGAAAGGTAGGAAGTGTTGTTGGTGTGGCACGTAGGCTGACTGTTTCATTGCCAGACATGCAAGGTTCTGATGCAGATATCCCAGTCAAAGAGTTTCTGAGCATTTTGAGAGAAACTAGTGATGTGACATTATTCTCTGAGGAAAGAGCACTTGCAGGGGCCTTTTTCCAGCGCAGAGGTTCTTGATGTGTTTGTAGCAGTTGGTGCCCCTGCTTAACCTTCAGGTATATTTAGGCATGCAGAGAAATAAATCAGGTTATAAAGCGATGGAACCTGTATTACTTGACTGTACAGTCAAGTTATTTACTGTGCTTTGCCTAGAAAGGACCTTGGAATCTGCAGAGGCAGGGCTTTGTCCAATCCAACATTGTTCCATAGATTGCTTAACAGCGGTGGGTGTAGATTGTGCTCTTTTGAAGTTGAACTATCGTGAGTTTATAAAGCAGAGAGTGAGTAAGCCTTTCTTACATTCAGAATGATTCCTGATTTAAATCAGTTCCCAAGAAGTTTTTGCAGCTTCCAGCCAAACACTGACAGATATCTACATTCCAGGGTCAGGAAGTTCACTGATTCCACATGATGGGTCTTAGCGCTGCATCTCAGTTGGGTAGATCCTGTGCCTGAATGGCTACAATGCAATTCTCTTCTAGTAAATAGCTCAGGAAATACTTTACTTCCCACCTTAAAACCAAAGCAAACCAACAAACATCTACCTCCTCCCCCAAAACAGCTTGGGGTCAAACAGGATTCTTCCAGGTAAGATGCCTGTGGTTTCCATTATTAATACAAATGAGAGCTTTTAAGCCATCAGGGAGGAATGGGATGTGAAGCTGCCAACACAAAATATCAGAGTGAATAGTGTGTCCTTACATTGTATTGCAAACTTGGAGTGCCTTTTATCTTTCTAATGTTTACCTAAAAGTATTTACTGAAATTGGAAAAACTTCTTAGTAGTTAACAGCTTGAGAGTTAACACCACCTTCCTTTCAGTCTTTCCTTGAGGCTAGCTTCAAAGTTGTGCAAGTAAAGATCCTATGCAGAAGTCCCAATAAAGCTATAAAATCCGTACAATATTCTAGTGTCTTTGTGTAGTAACTACATTCTTGTAAAAGCTTGCCAGATACGCATTAAAACACTTTTTTTTCTTCTAGTTGTTGATTGTGAGACACTTTGTCACTTTCCTATGCATTCACTGCAAGTCTTTCCTATCTGTGGTAGCATGGTTAGCTGTATTTTGGGTTTTCTGTTGCTTTTAATTACAGTACAGTAAATTGGAGAAGGGATGCAGAAAGATGTGAGCCTTTTATTGGAAAAAAAATCATCTTTATGAGCACTGTCAGGATTATTTTTGCTCAAACCCTTTTCAGATACATTAGAATTCATTTGTTTAGCCTCATCATTGGAGGATTTTTGGACTGCTGCCAAATCAGGGGTGGTTCATTTGTAACTACCTTTTTCGGAGACTGTTATTTCAGATGCATTTGTGTTAAGATTCTGTCCCTTGAAAGGATATCTGTATTGCTGCAGTCAGTTCATGTACACAGACTATGACTGCCATCCTCTTTAATTGGCTTGGAGGTTCATTCCAGATTAGCAGCCCCCAGTATTCATCTGCTTTGTGAGGTCTGCTTTGCAGCCTGTCTAAAGATGCCTTGGTTTTGTGGCCAGATTGCTGTATAAACCGAGGTAGCTAATTTTAAAGCGTTGCTCTGTTAGCCAAAAGTTTTTCATGTTTGTCGTTTTTGCTTCACAAAGCTGTGTGTTTGTATAGTGCACGCAGTCTTTTGTTAAATTTTGTGAGTAGTCCTATGGACGGACTATTGTATAAAATTCTAAACTTTGCCTTACCTAGAGTATGCTTCAGAGAAAAAAACCTTTTGGTGTTAAATTATGTCTCATTTCTCATGTCTGTTGGGGAAGAGAAGATACCCTGTGTCTGGCCCTGACAAAGCATATTTCATCAGACTGCTATTATTTCTGTGCAGGCTTTGAAGGAAAAGGGTAAAAGGTCATTCTTTGTTTGTAACTAAGAAAGATCTTGTCTTTGAAAGACAGTTTATTTTTCTGGTATTTTAAATAGTCTTCTCCCCATAGCACAAATATTTGCTTGCTTTTAAATCTTGAGCTGGTTATTTCAAGTATAAATATGCTTAGGAAGAAGACCACTTTTAAGGAAGGCTGAGCATTTTTAAAACATGTAGCACTTATGACGCCTTATGTTCTCACAAATAAAATATTTTGATTGTTATGTTAGAAATGACAAAGCAGTGTGTTACAAGAATGAATGTACTCCTTGTCTATTTTTTGTATGGACACCTATGTAGTAATTTCGTAAAAGGTGCTTTGTAAAGGTAATCTTTAGTAGTCACTATAAATAATTTTATCTAATACGTTTCTTATAATGTTATTTGGGCTTCTTCGTAGCCAAATGCCAAATGCCCTCTCTGTAGGAACGAGCTTCGAGTAGAGCACTTGGTGGAATGTCCCCTAGAAGAGGAAATAGACTCCAGTAATGGAAAGAAATCTGATCAGCAGTGGATATCCAGTTCAAAGGTACATTCCATTGTGTTTTACTTGGCTTTTGTTACGGTTTTGTAGAGCGCTGTGTAGAACTTTTACGTAAATATGCTGAACGTATTTTACATATGCATAACACAATGAAAATTATTATTTAAAAATCTGCACAGCATGTTTAGCCAGCATAGTAAAATCTCATCACAAAAAAATTTTGCAGCAGGGAAACAAGACAGAAGGAGCACCAGTTGTAATTTGATGCTGGTCATTATGCAGTACACAGATGTGTATTAATTGAATAAAACTTGGTAAAAGAGCTGTTGCTTTCTCTGTTGTTTCTATTTCTGAAGATAGAGTCATTCTATAACCACTGAAACTATTCAGCTCTTAGTTTACTTTTGGAAACTAAAAATCTAAAATCCTTCTTTCTTAAAACTTGTCTAAAGAATATATACTCTGTTCTACAGAGGAAAACTAAATGGGCATCATATGTTCAATATAACACTTGTCAGATAAACTAGTGAGGTGTTTTTATTTTACTTTGCAGACCTGATTCTGAAGGTCTGTCACCTCGTTTTTTGCCTCACCTTCGTTGTGCATTCACTGCCAGAAATTAAATCTTCCTGCCTGTACTTTGATACTTGTACTGTACTGCCTGTACTTGTGCTTGTTTTGAGATTGCTTTTCCAAAACATGAAATTTTTAATTTTAATTTGTAATGAAGTTATTGTTCTTTCAAAAGTTGGTTATAAATTTATTCCCTAAAAATGACTCTCTGGAGACCTATGAACTAATTTAGGACATAGTGCTCTAGAATGAATTAAAATATTTTCAAGTGTTTGTTTTTTTGTTTTTTCTTTTTTTTTTAACCTGGTGCAGTTGCTTGCTTTCTTTAGCTCGTGATTCTTGGCCTCATCATAGCTAAACCTTAAATGAGAAAACTGGCAATGTTTTTCTGCCTCAGATCCAATTCCTTGCTCCTTTTGTTCTCGTATTGCTTCCAAGAGTGCTTCTGGTGCCTCCTTATCCTCTGTCATACCTAGCCATGGGTCTTGTGTAGCTCATTTGCCTGGATATTCCCGAGGGAAGCCTTTCTCACTTCTTGAGTACAGCTGCAGTAGAGCACTTGCTTGTGCTGTTCAGAGTCCCGCTACTCTGTTCTTTTTTTCCATATGCCCTGGAGGTAGGGGAATTGTTGACTCCTGGCAGTGGGAAGTATGTCTGGAAAACAGGTTCCTGAATCCGTTTCCCCAGTTTGTGACCATTAAAAGTGCTCAACCCTTAGTTTCCTTTGGAAACAAAAAGAAACCCTGCCCCCACAATTTAAGATTAGTTGGTTTAAAAGGTATTACTGAACAGTGGTTTCTCAATTGTTCAAGTAGTTTATCAAAGCACCTGTAGGAGTGGAATCTAACCAAGTGAGAATAAGCTGCATAAGTCTTCATTTGATTTCAGATAAATGCTCTCATGCATGCTTTGATAGAACTGCGGAGGGATAATCCAACTGCTAAATGTCTGGTTGTTTCTCAGTTCACAACTTTCCTGTCACTGATAGAAAATCCCTTGAAGTAAGTAGAACTACCGTAATTTTTAATAAACACAGGCTTTTATGGTGTTTTAGAAAGATCTCTCAAAGAATACGGCATCCTTTTGATTTTTAGAACTTCAAAAGAGAAACAGATTACTTAAACACATTGTTCAGTGGAATAGAGCCATGAATCTCATTCTTATTTTTAATGTATCACCTGTTAAATGCAGAATTTTAAATATGCTTTTCAAAGTAGAGGTCCGGATTTCAATGTATTTATTCCCTGTTGTCACAGACTATGGATTGTTAAATTGAACATTTTTACTTTCTCTTCAGAGAATCAGGGTTTGCCTTTACTCGTTTGGATGGGTCAATGGCACAGAAGAAAAGAGTAGAAGCAATTCAGTGTTTCCAAAGCAGCCAAGCAGGATCCCCAACTGTAATGCTTTTGTCTCTGAAAGCAGGTGGAGTTGGATTAAATCTGACAGCAGCTTCCCGAGTGTTTTTAATGGATCCTGTGAGTAATGGGTTGTTCATAATGATCTGGCTTAATCTAGGTGAAGCTCCTTTTTGGTGTTTTCGTAAGAGGTAGGAGAGCCCCCTCTGAGAATGATCAACACTGATGAGTATCTGTTAAAGGGCAAATAAGGCTTTTCTTCATTTGTTTCCCTGTCATGTTTTTGTTTTAACACAGTATTTTTGTGTTGTCCATTTATTTACTGTGAATGGAAAGCATGCTAGTAGTACTGGTAACAAAGTGGAGTGTAGCATTTGATAGCTGTTCCTTCTTTATTTCTTTCTCTTTTCTTTTTGATGCTTTTGAATGTGATTTTTCTGTTTATTCTGTTTAATAACTTTGAAAGCCATGAAGTGGAATTTCAGGAACAGTATATTTTTTTCTGAATGTTAATGCAGTGCTTCTCTACTCTAGTCTCTCTGTTATTTTTGTGAATTTATTTATTTATAAAGACTTTAGTCTGAGGTTACTTTTTGTGGTTGTAGGAGACTGAGAAAGACGGTGATATCTAAATCTAAGAAGTTTTTTTCCTTTCTTTAAAGCATTCAGGAATGCAAAATTATTTGTAAGGAATAAAAATGTAAATTACATTTATTGATAGCAAAACGGTATTCCTAACAGAATTGGTTCATGTGTTGTTGTGTCATTGTACAAAATAGAAGTTTTTCTATTCACTTGCCCCTTCCTCACTATTTACTTCTCTGCTCTGACGTCCTAGTTTTTTGGCAGTTGGAAACTGAGACAAATTCTACAGTTTGTGCACTTCAAAACAAAGCCAAAGTAAATGAAAATAATAGTGTAGCTTTGGACTTGGGCCTTTGGTAACTCCAATAGTAAAGAAAAAGTACTAGCTTGGACATCAGGTTAGTGATAACAACAGCATGAAGACAAAAGCTATTTACTTAATAAGCTAAAGGAATTAAATATGAGTGAGAGTATGGAAAAGTTGCCTTGGAAAAAGGTTTTTCATGAACTGCAGTACATCTTCGTAAGTATTGTTTCTGTATGTGGTGCATTGAATAGTTCACCACCACCTAGTCCAACTGTCCTTTTTTCCTTTTTTAACCAATTCTCTGAATAAGAGATTGTGGAAAGTCCAAGAGAATTTTCATTTTCTGTAAAGGTAGTTAATAAGGTATAACACATACATCGTCCTGGGGGCAAGAAGCATTGTTAACAGAGTCATCTACAGTTTATAGTTATATATCACAAACCAGCGCCAAATATAATTGCATCCCTTATACACCATTGAATGACTTCTCGTCCTGCAGGTAGCCATCCCAAGTGGCAGTGGTTGACTGCTTGTATTTTATGAAGGGGCAGTGGGGCCACATGATCCTTTATAATCTCACTTTTGAATGTTCAGTGCCGAATGAGATTCAGTCATGCATTAGCATTCCTTGAAGTGAATTAGCAGCAATAATAGGATTTAAGAAGCAGAAAGACCTCTGGAGCCAATGGAGTAACCAGTTTTTCTACTCAAATTCTGTGAATGTGTTGTAGAATGGTAGCTTAGAGGTCTGCATTCTTTCTCTGAGAGGTGTTATACCACAAGGGAGGAGCATTTATTCAACCATAGACTACTTTCTTCCCCCCTCTTTTTTAATTATTTGTTTGTTTAAAAACAATCAAATCTGCAGAATTCTCACCTCTAGGAAGAAATACGAACCTTTAATGTTGTGCGTATCACAAGTATACAGATGTTTTTCTGAGGTTCAAGTTTCCCCATAGTTTTGCCTATAAAATACAGTATCCTTTGTATATGATACTGCAGAAAGACATGGAGGTATTGCAGTTCAGTTTTCATTTGCTGGGCTGATGAGGGAAGAAGAGTGAGAGTAGTACACTTCAGTCCTCCTCGACTACAGCAAAGATAGAACGCAACATGCTTGTGCATGTTTGTGCTAGATCTTTCCTCAAGACAGCATCTTGTTTGTACAGTCAGATTAGTGTTAGAACAGTTTACCATACATAGCTTGCCAGGAATGTTCATCTTGCAGCGACAGATACATAATAGAATCACAGAATGGTTTGGTTTGAAAGGGACCTTAAAGCTCATCCAATGCCACCCCCTGCCCTGGGCAGGGACACGTCCCACCAGTTGCTCCAAGCCCCGTCCAACCTGGCCTTGAACACCTCCAGGGATGGGGCAGCCACAGCTTCTCTGGGCAGCCTGCCCCAGGGGATCACCACCCGCACAGGAAAGAATTTCTTCCTTACATATAATCTAACTCTGCCCTCTTTCAGTTTAAAGCCATTACTCCTTGTCCTACCACTACATGCCCTTGTAAAAAGTCCCTCTCCAGCTTTCTTGTAGGACCCCTTTAGGTACTGGAAGGGGCTGTGAGGTCACTGATCTCAATCTGGACACTGAGCCATTGACCATTACCCTCTGGATATGATCATCCAACCAATTCCTCATCCACTGAACATTCCACCCATCAAATCCATATATCTCCAATACAGAGAGAAAGATACTGTGGGGGACTGTGTTAAAGGCCTTAGAGAAGTCCAGATAGACGACATCCATAGCTCTTCCCTTGTCTGCTGATGTAGTCACTCCATCATAGAAGGCCACTAGGCTGGACAGGCAGGACTTGCCCTTGGTGAAGCCATGCTGGCTGTCTTGAATCAGCTCCCCGTCCTCCATGTGCCTTTGCATAGCTTTTGGGAGGATCTGTTTCATGATCTTCCCAGGCACAGAGGTGAGGATGACAGGTTGCTAGTTGCCAGGGTCCTGCTTTTTACCCTTTTTAAAAATGGATGCAATGTTTCCCCTTTTCCAGTCACCAGGGTCTTCACCTGACTGCCATGGCTTGGCAACTACATCAGCTTATTCCCTCGGGACTCTGGGATGCATCTCATCAGGTCCCACAGACTTCTGTACATTCAGGTTCTTCAGGTGGTCATGAACCTGATCTTCTCTCATAGTGGGAGGCACTTTGTTCCCCAGTCCCTGCCTTGCGGTCCATCCACTGGAGAGGTGTGGGGAGAGAGGGGGCCAGTGAAGACTAAGGCAAAAAGTTGTTGTGTCCCTCAGCCTTGTCCTTATCCATTGTTTTCGGTTTGCCAGTTTTGCTTATCAGGGGGATACGCTTTCTTTGGCCTTTCTTTTCTGGTTGACGTACCTGTAGAAGCTTTCTCGTTATGTCCCTTGCCAAGTTCAGCTCCAGCTGTGCCTTGGCCTTCCTGACCCCATCCCTACACAACCGGGCAGCACCCCTATACTCTTCCCAGGATACCTGTCCTTGCATCCACTGCCTGTGCGTTTCCTTCTTGCCCTTTAGTTTCACCAGCAGGTCTCGACTCAGCCATGCTGGTCCCTTGCCTTCCTTTCCTGATTTCTTACACCTGGGGATCGAGAGCTCTTGTGCTCTATGGAAGGCGTCCTTAAAGATCTGCCAGCTCTGTTCTGCTCCCTTGTCCCTGAGGGTGGTTTCCCGGGGGGGCTATTGACTGACTCCTGGAAGAGCTGGAATTTTGCTTTCCTAAAATTCAGGGTCCTGACTTTACTGTTCCCCTGACCCGTATCCCTTAGGGCTGCAAACTCCACCAGTGTGTGATCCTGCAGCCCAGGCTGCCTCCAGTCTTGACATCACAGATTAGCTCACTTGCATTGGTGACCATCAGGTCCAGTATTGCATCCCACTTAACAGTTATGGTTTCAGTAATGGCACTTGTTTGGCTTTTATCTTGCAGCTTGATGTCTGAAGTGAGTTTAGGCATCAGAGGTTCTTAGAGTCTACAATGATTTTTTTGTGCTAGCCTAGCGCTATTTTTTCCCCCTTTCTATAGAAAGGGGTCATTTAGAAGAGTTCTTAGATAACTTCCAGTATGCGAGTGACATGGCAAGGTGAGCCCATTGCATGAGACTTGCTTATCACAAACAACACGATTACATTTTAGGTAGATTTAAATATCTATTCTGTGAGAATTAGTACTGCTATACCTTTAGACAGAAGAAACCTGCTGCAAAAATGCAGAGTGCAGACTTGGCATCTCACAAATCCTTATATTTAGTGTTATACCCTAAGCACAAGTAGGAACAGCTACACTACCATTTTATGTTCAGCAAGTTTCTCGTTTACCTAACTTAGTGATTATTGCATATAATAATGGAAGTATACATGGGATTTCTTAACAGGCAGGGGACTTAGTCTACTGATGAATAGCTGCCTGTGTTCAGCTGGTTTAGATTTTCCTATCAGGAAAAGGGTACTGAGGCAGTTAGTATATGCAGTGTTTACTTCAGAATTAAAATGCTAATGAGATTGTTTTGATGTCCCCTAGATTCCTGAAAAACTTAGTTTTTACCTGATGTTCCTGCTTGTTATGAATATGTAACCAGAGGTTCTCAAAGCTTGCTTTATAGCGCAATAGTTACAGAGTGAGACATTACGTTGGGAGTAATCAGCAAGCAGTATTTGTTCAAGAGCCGCTGGTACAATAACTTCTTTGTGATTCCATGTGCATCTTACTATGTATTTTGAAGGGAAGTTATTTAACTTGTTCCTTGCTGCTACTGATAGGCTTGGAATCCCGCTGCAGAAGACCAGTGTTTTGACAGGTGTCACAGGCTGGGTCAGAAGCATAACGTTGTTATTACTAAGGTGAGTTGAGAGTTCACCTTTTTGAAGGGTTTTCTGGTTATGAATAAATAAACTGTTTTCCTAAAAGCTTTGCTATATTTTTAAAAGAATTGTGACAACATATGTCTTTGAAGTGTGGGTTTTCGATTATAAGATTGTATTAAATGTAACCTGTTTCCCATGAAATAAGAATTTTAGAAATTAGATGTCTTTGCTGAGGGTAGTATTGCTGTTGCCCAGTCTGGCTATTGCAATTTATATTCTTGAAGGTATGTAGAATGCTTTTGCTTTTGTCATGGTAGCTTGTTTAGCTGCGGAAGAGCAGCTGGTCTGTCTCATTAATATCCAGTCACAAAAATACTACTTGGGAAATTGTAGACAGGCTGTCTTATATTATAAGTAGTAAAGAAGAGATATAGATACTCTTCCAGTAAGTGTGTAATAAAAAAAAAAAAAAAAAAAAAAAAAAAAAAACCATCACCTTTTCCTCCAACTGCTTTATAACCCCTCCCCCTTGTGTTTTATTTACAAAGTAATAACAAAATAATGTAGCTGTGCTTTAGGGTACTCAGATTTTTCACTTATTTTTTCCAAAGTACCTAAATTTCTCAATCTAAACTTTTAATAAAAAACAAACAAACAAAAAAACCCACCTTCATTTCAGTGGGGCTTTTTTTCTTCCAGTTCATTGTGAAGGATTCGGTGGAAGAAAATATGCTGAAAATTCAGAACAAGAAGAGGGAACTTGCAGCAGGAGCTTTTGCTACCAAAAAGCCTTCAGCAAGTGAAGCAAAACAAACCAAAATTAATGAAATCAAGGCTCTAATTGATTTATAGTTTGAAACTGTGGTATTTTGAGTAAATAACATGTTTAATATTTTAGTTAATACTGCTCTTCAAGCATGTCTCATGCTAACTTTTAGTTTTGCTGTCTTTATGGTCAAAACATAAATGCTTCAAATAAATTTTAAAAAGTAATTTGCTCCTAAATGTTCATTTAGAAACGCAAAAACTTGATTTGCACTCCTGAAATCTTTCCGGTGTTCATTTCTTCAAAGTGTTGCTTATTATGTACAACGCTTAAGGCTACATTAAAAGTCCCTCAAAACAGAAGTGTGTGTTCATGCATTCTAACTTGCAAGAATTTAATGTCTTTTCAGAGGTGAAAAGGTAAAAAAAGGTAAATAATGTATGTGTTTTCCTTCAGACAAAACTCTTCAAGGTATGAATTAGCTTCATGTTTCAATCTCAGTGTTTCTTGATAACCAAACAGATCGACTGGATTGTCTGTTTCAGAATAGGTGGTCAGTGACCACTTCATAATGAATTCTTACTTTTGCAGACTATGTTCAAAGATAATATTTAATTCAAAATTTTAAAATACTTTTTTACTATTTCTGAATAATACACAGGTACAGCAGGAAGTTCCTCTGTTGATTACTTCCCAGGAGCTAGTAAAAATGAAGTACTTAAATTTGTAAAACACTTTCTTTTAATCTTTACTTTCCTTTAAAACAGAATTCCACTGACTTCTGTAAAAGTAAAGGGTTTGTGATTTGGATAAAATGCTAAAATCATAGGCTTGTATTGATACCATGTTTTCTAGTAATTTCTGTACACACTTTGAACAATATGACTGTGCTATATGCAAAGTAGAATATGACCCACTCACTTGTCAGTGAATCAGTTACCCCTTGCAAAATTAAACAAAACATTATTTTAATAGCTGCCAGCCTTCTAACAGTTGCCTTGCACTGCAAAGTGCTTTTCTAATCCCATACGTGTCTTAATGGAATGCTGATTTGGATGCATCCTGATTTATAGAGGAAGAATTTGGTAAACTACTCATGTTCATGTCCCACAAAGTAATAAATAGCACTGAAGATCCTCAGTGGAGTATTAGTTCAATATTCTTGCCTGCTCCTTGTATCTCTTTCCATTTGATCCTGGTCTTGTTATGTGTTTCCTTATGCTGCCTTCCCTGTTACTCAGAACTGGAGGCAGAGATTGCTGCGTTTAGGTCCTGTTTAGATTCAGGAAGTGCATTTGGCACCAGAGAAATGGAATCTGATTTGCTTCTAATGCCTTTGTCCTTTTTTTATGTTTTAGAATACCAGCCAGCTGATTATAAGATGAATTGCAAACATAAGAAATTGAAAAGGACTGAGAAATAAAGGGAAGATGTCTGATACTTGGAGAAATAGTGAGCCAAAGGAAGGAGGGAGAAAGGAATTCAAAATAGGTAACCTAAAAAGCTGATGCAGTTTTTGCACAGCCAGCATGTTAGCTATGGAGACAAGTGTGTTTTAAGTCTGTTAGAGAAAGAATTAAAAAGACATGAATGATTGAAGACAGTGTGAACCCCAGTAACTGGTTGTCACTGGAAAGTTGACGAATAAGAAAACAGAGCTACACCTGATTGAATTTATTTTCTTTTCTGCACAGAGTTTATGTAAGTTAAACTTTCTTTGGGTTTTTGTGGTTCAGATTCTGAGATAAGCTGGAGAAATAATTGCTGATTATGCATGAGAGAGTTGGCTTTGTCTCATTCTTTCCATTTGCCAAGTTAAAATTCCATGGGGAAGAGACACATTTCAAGGGCTAGTCAAGCTACCTCATTATTTGTGTTAAAATATGCTGACGTTTTGCAGAGTGGCTGAGTTATGATTATGAAAACAATTGCTAGTATAATTTTTCCTCTACTAGATGATGGTTTCCATGTGCCAAAGCCAAATAAAAACTTACTGGAGTTAGTACTAAGCTGTTTGGCTACTTAAGGTCTTTCCCAAGAAAGCCATTAATGTATCCAAGAGAACAGTTAAAAGAGCTGTGAGCAGAAAAGTTCTGTCTGATTTGATGGAGCTGTTCAGTTACATGGGTGGTTAAAATCCAGAGTCTTCTATTTGTTTGGGGTATCTTTTTGCTTTTCATGACCTGTAGGTAGTCTTTGGCTATTGATATTCTCTTTCTTGGAGTTCTAACAGTATGTTCTTTGGCATATGTTCTAGAAATGAGCTTTGGAATTACAAACTTAACATTTTTAATTCCAAAGCCCGAGTTTTAGTCTATCATTCTGGGGGTTTTTTTACCCCCTATGTAAAATAAAGATGTAAATGAAAATACAATGCTTCTAAACTTTTAAGAGTTGTTTTCAGTTGCCACCATCTAAGGAATGCCTTAGATGATTATACACTTTTTAAAGGCAAATGGAGTTCCAATACTTGAGTCACAATTTAAGCAGGGCTATGATTCTTTTGAATAATGTTTTCAGTATAGTGCTTTAATTCAGTTACTGCTTTGAGTAACTACAGTTTAGAGCAGAAAATTGACGTATCAAATGATACTGTTACAAGGGATCTCTTTTTCTGCAAGTGCAGCCTGCAGTAGTTATGAAGGAAATAGTGGCAGATAATGACATAAAAGTCATTTTATTGAAAATAAGCTGCATAGAGTTTGGTATAGATGTCATACCTTTCACTTTCCTGAGGCTGTGGGGTAACACTTGACCATAGTATGAGTCAGAGGCTTGGACAGAATGGTTTCTTTCTTTACTAACTATATTTGTTAACCCAAAACATGCATTTCATCTTATTCAGCATCTCTCCTTACCTTCTCGTATTAACGTAACAAAACTTAACATGCTAAACCAAATTTTCAGGTTGGTATAGTCTCATACTTTTACACTTTCAGTTCTCTCCAACTAAGCTTAAATAGTACCTGCCTATTCTCTAGTATGAATACAGGCAAGGGAAGCAAAAGATTGTGCAGCTGTCTTCAAAAGAGTATTTTACCATTTTCCATAGAGTATTTTGTGAGCATGCAGGACTCCAATATTTGTGCTTGTTGGATAAAGTATACTTTTGTCACTACAGATTGTAACCAGTAATCCCTCCTGCTTTCACACAACTTCAAATTTATCTGTTAAAAAAAAAAACACAACACAGCAAAAAAACCCACACAGGAAAGGGTTAGTTACAACTGGGAGCTCAGATGCTATGTACTTTTAAATGGCTGCAAGCTACTTTGGTTTGGACCTTATCTTTAGCATTTTTGCTAAATGTTGATCAAGGAATCTTTGAGCAATTAAGTAGTGAAAACAAGTTAAAACAAACTCTCATACCCAGATTATGTCTTCTGCTTTACCAGCAAATGGTGAGAGCTTGTTGATTTTTTTATTTTATCTCTAGGCTAAAAGTTTAGCACCCTCACTAGCTTCCTGCCAAAATCCTCCTTTATAAGGAAATAATGAAATAATACTTTCCTAATGGTTCTAGACTAGTACAGAGTATAGCTGTCAAAGACAGAACACTGATTTGGTTGTTTAGACTTTTGGCTAAAGGATGAAGCTGAAACTTAGTACAGATAACAGCTAATCTCCATCTGTCTTCCAGCATGCTTTTGTTACTGTGGTATTTTGACTGCTTTTCCATGTGTCTGAGAATACAATGGGTAGGCTGAGTGTGTCAAAAAAGCACTCTCTTTTACTCTGCACACACAGAAAGAGTAGCTTTCCTAATCAGGGTAGGTACAGTTACTTGAGCAGCTATTAGTCTGTCTTTGCCAAAATAGCATCATCATTATGTTTAAAAACAAGTTCATAGTGTACAGGGCTTATGGTAGGGATGATATTTCTCTCAGTGACTAAAGAAACACTGCTTCTTCCCAAGCTCTGTGTTGCTTATATGATTAGTTTTCAGCAGGTACTGCCTCCACTGCCCTGTCCTAGACTTAGGGCAACCTAATACAGGGAGTGACCCTGAACAGCTCCCTCACAAATGACTGGATACTCTGTAAATAATTACAGAGCTAAAAGCTGGACGTTCGCTAATGATAGCTGGAGTAGTGTTAGCAAAGCTCAAGGGTTATACCTGATGAATAATTTAGTTGGACTGCTTCAGAGCTCCCTCTCTTTTCTCTTTCCTTGCTCAAGAGTTTAGGGAAGCCAGAAATGCATGACAACTTTTTATTTTTGTATCAAGTGCAACATTGCAAGTAACAGATAAAACTCAGTTTACTAGTCCCATAGTGTACAGAACTGAAAAACGCATTCTGCCATGCTGTAGGCACTGTGCGTAAGAACCTGGTCAAAACTTCAGTGCAATTGTGACTGGAAGAGCAAAGCAGTGCTATTACTGTTACATCTGTATGTATCCCAGTGTCGTTAAAATGTTTTTCATAAAGCAGAATGGCTACCACTCTAGTGTATGAGCAATCCCATGAATAAGATTTTACATCTAAAACAGCAAGCCAAGGAATCAATGCTAACCACCTTAATGAGGTGAGGTAACAAACCCAGTTTCAAGGAATATGTTGAGCCAATTGATCACAACAGAAGAAAATTTAAGCTGAAAATACCTGGTTTTATCTAGTAGGGAGAATTGGAAATTGGGCAGTTATAGGTGGCCCAAGGAATTCTGCTTCCTAGCTTTTGCTCAGTCTTCATCCGTAGCACTGCAGAGGCCTTCAGCCAAGAAGTTTTTCATCAAGCTACTAGCAAGTGTAACTGACCACCATCTACACCTTTCTAGCTGTTAGTTCTGGAACAAGTCCTTGCATCACCACTGTTTGAGACAGGCATTTCTACTGAAGGTAGGTATCAAGTTTCTTCTTGATGTTGTCAAAGGAATCCACTCCCATATAGTCAGCTTGGCCCTGTTCCCACCGTTCCTTGCGTTCTTCTGAAGATACAGTCGGTAATACTGGCGATGGTGCTGATAGTGATATGTGGGACACTGCCTCTGTAACCTCTGCCTAAAAGGAAAGGCAGAGTAAAAATACAGAAATACTTTGCATAGCTGAAGCGAGCAACAAGGCATAGAACGGGACAACGAAGTAGA